GACAGAGTGCCAGCAATTGAGGTAGGGGTGTGCGATTGGCCGCGCCTGGCGGATTTGCGAGAGAGCTGAGTCCAGATCCATTCTCTGTGGAAGGAGTGTGCGAGGAGAAACAGGCCGGGCACAGGGGGAGCAGCAGGCGGGGTGGGAATGTGAGGGCAGCGTAAATGGGACTAGAAGAACAAGGGACAAGAGCTGGTGCATGCGTGAAAGTGGGTATCTGAAGCTGCACACAGGTGTGCACATGCACTATACACACGTTTACACACACACACGCAGACGGGCACACAGAGAAAACGAACACGCACATGCACTGGGGCACGCACAGAACACACACAAGTGCACGTACACACATGTGCAAGCGTGCATGTATACCTTGACAAAGGTAAGGTAGCCTGGCGCTGTGAGCGTGGCGCGGTTGATGCCCGCGGTGCAGCGAATGTAGACATCGCATCCCTCGGCGATGAGGAGGTTGACCATGCGCACGGCCACGGGCAGCATGAACGCCTGGTCGCCATGGTCAAAGTCCCGGATCGATACTCTCTCCCGCCGCAGACCCCTCTGCATTGCTTGCTCTCGGATGGCAGCAATGGGGATCTGGAAGGGTAGGGAGTGGAGGAGGGGCAGTGGGAGTGGGAGTGGGAGTGGGAGGAAGGGAGAGGGGAGGGTTCAAGAGTGCCAAGAGAGGAGAAGGGGCAGATCATATGGAAGCATACAGTAAGTGAAGTGCAGGTGCGGGTCAGGGAGGGGTGAGTGGGTGGGTCATAGAGGTTAGCAAATCAGCGCAGTGTTGAATTGAATGGTCTGCATGAGCTGGATGCTTTTGGTTCGAGTGCTTGGGTACTGGAGGAGAAGGTGCAAGGGTCCAGAGGCAGGACGCAGGGTTGCAAGGGAGCAATGGGGCAAGGAAGCAAGGGAGCAAAAGCGCAAAGGAGGAGGGGAGCAAGGGTGGGTGGGAGGGTGCGAGCGATACCTGCAGGGTGTCGAAGCAGAGGTCGGACTGCAGGTTGACCACGGCCGTTGCCCCACTCTCATCCACTATGCGATCCTGACGCACACTCGCAGAGGGAGAGGGAGAGGGAGAGGCAGGCAGCACGTGCAAGAGAGAAAGGGAGGGAGAGGGAGAGGGAGAGGGAGGGGGAGAGGGATAGGGAGAGGGAGAGGGAGTGAGGGAGGGAGAGGGAGAGGGAGAGGGGGAGGGAGAGGGGGAGGGAGAGGGAGAGGGAGAGGGAGAGGGAGATTGAGAGGGAGAGGGGAAAAAGAACAGCACGAGGTGGGAGATGTACGAACATTCAGGCTAAACAGGATGAACAAAAGCGAGAGCTTGTGGTGATAAGAAGTGGTAGAGTTTCCAGGTAGGCATTCACGCTTGCAGTAAGAAAAAGACCTGGTCGTCATTGCTCGTCATTGCTCTCTTACAAGGTAACGACAAGCTGTGCACCATTGACACGAGAGGGAAAATTTTCACCGTGAGGGCAAAGGGAACGTACGACGTCTGAAGGGCTGCGAGGGCAGGAGCCGACAATGACACTGGGTGCTATGCGACTCCAATTCAACGTCCACCTCCACTCTCCGCCCACGTTCCCGCCTCCTCCTCCCCCTCCCCCACTCTCACGCTGCATCCATCCAGCCGCCAGACACAATCCACTCGCTGAGCTGAGCTAGAGACGGACCGCTCGCTCGCTGAGCTGGAGACGAACTGCGCGGATCCAAGGGATCAAGACAGCAGGGACGTCACCCTTGCGATGCAAGGAAAAGACCGTGGTGTAACGCGAGTAGCCGTCAACAACCAGCAGGAAGTACCGCTCGCCTCCCTGACCACGGACGAGGGCGGGGCCCCACACGTCCATGTGAAGAGTCTACAGGGGAGCCTCTGTCGGGGGAAACGAGGAGGAATGAGGGGCAGCGCGCTGCTGTCCTTCGACACAAGGAATGCAGGGAGGGGCAGGGGAGCGCGGGAGAGAGGACAGCGACCTGGGGAGACCAGACACAAGGACGCGGGTGTGCATGCCACGAAGGCGTGGCAGGGAGGGGTGACCAAGGCGGTGGTGCCAGAGGAGAGTCTGGTGGGAGAGGTGCCGACATGCACAAGGGGCTGATGCCTAACGTGATGCAGCTACCTGACCCGACGCAGCTACCTGGGAAGCCTCAGTGGTAAGTTTGAAAAGACTGGATCCTGGCGCATGGGTGAACGTGGCCAGGTGACGGCCAGTCCGTGCACACGTGCAGATCGCCACACGCTGACCTCCAGGGGTGAAGGTATCAACCCACTCATCCTGAAGGCTAGCGTTGCTCACCAGGTTTGTCGAGAATGAGGGGAGGTGGAGACCTGACAGTGAGCCGGACGAAACCGCCGGACACGGGAGAACAATGGTGGAACGTGCAAGTACCGGGCCCCCTGAAGGGTCGGCAGGGGAGACCGCAACGGGTCTAGCAAGGGGTGTGAGTGTGGTGCTGTCGCAGAAGTAACAGCGAGTAGCACCAGAGTCAAGTGTGAAAGTGTACAAGGCCTGAGCAGGTGCAGTACCAGAGAGAGCAGACTCACCAGCACCTAGAGCAGCAGACTCTATACCTGGGTCAGGCGGCACGCACAACTAACAGTCACCCTCAACACTAGTAGACAAAGCATACATGCCATTGAGAATAGCATCAAAGTCAAGTTCAAAGATGTCTACTTTAGCCTTAAGCAGATCTGCCCAGCAGGGCGTCTCATGATCATCGCTAAACTCATTGCGCCAAGCATCATCTAGACGGGAGAAGCAGCGGTAGCCGGTGTGGGGCTTGCCGCACGTCTGACCCTTGCGGTCGCCGGTGCGAATGACGTACGGGCAGGAGAGAACACCCCCAGACCCCTGGCGCTGAGCATACCAGCCACGAAGCTGCTGGGGCGAGAGGGGCTCACGCTGGCGCTGCTGCTGCCGCTGACCACCTCCAGTCCGCCCACCGCTGCTGCTGCCACCACCACTCCCGTCACCACCACCACTGCCCCCAATGCGTCCACTGTCACCACGACCGCCGCCACCACCACCCCCGCCGCTGCCACCGCCCCCACCACCTGCTCCCCTACTCCCGCCACCACCCACACCGCCACCACCGCCCCCTCCACTGCCTCCACCGCCTCCACCACTACCGCCTCCACCGCCGCCACCCCCACCACCCTTGCCTCCCTTGCCCCTGCCGCTGCGGCGCCTCCCACTAGGAGCAGAGGCAGCATCGACTCCCTCAACGCTAAGGAAGTCGACCGCGGCAGCAGAGGCGACAGAGGGGGCAAGGGGGGAGGCGGAGCACCCCTCAAAGAAGGGCGTGCGGGGAGTGCCACGAGCAGCACCTACAGCGACAATGTTCGTCTCGACTGCTAGGAGGTGCTTCGAGAGCAGGTCGATAGTGAGGTATGTGGGGCGAAGGGCTAGGAGGGTGTCCCTGACTGCACTGAGAGATTCTGGGAGGCGAGTGGCTATAAAGTAGAGTCTTATGTAGATCGGGGGCTCATTCTTGGGGAGAAACTTTGTGGGAAGGGCGGCACGTTAGCGAGCGTCTATAGTGCGGAGGTGGGTGATGAGGTCGTCGACAGTGTCAAACGAAGACAGCTCGGAAAAGAGGTAGGGGAGAATGAGGTGGCCTAGCACTGCAGTGGTAGGGGAAGAGTAGCGCGCAGCTACAGCGTCGTACATCTCCTTTGGTCTGATCGAAGTGCGCACGCTTGGATATGGGCAGGTGGTTACAGACAGCTAATCAAGCGGCAGCGTCACGAGTGAGCCATTTCGAGCGAGTCGTGCTATCGGCAGAGGCGGCAGGTGCAGGACTAGCTCCAGACGTGAGGTCATACAGCGAAACATCGTCTCTAGAGTCGCTCAGTAGGAACAGTTGTAGGTCCTGCAGCCAAGTTTCAAACTTAATGGGCCGGCCGTCAGGATCGAATTCGAGAACGCTGAGCGAGGCCATAGCGTCTTAGTGAATAAGGCCGCGCAAGCAAGCAAGCAGGAAGCTTCCAGGAAGCTGCGAGGGCTGCAGGTGAGCGGTGCACAAAGCGGCAGCAGTAGAGGGCCGGGAAGCAGGCCGGCAGGAGCAGCACGCGGGCAGGTGCGGGCGGCGCTAGAGGGTGGCTCGCGGGCTGCGCGGGTAGGAAGCAGGCCGCGCGCGGGCAGGGCGGGCTGCCAGCAGGCGGTGGCGCGGGCTAGCGCGAGCTGTGCGGGTGGCGAGCGGGCTGGCGCGAGCTGCGCGGGCGGCGAGCGGGCTGGCGCGCGCTGTGCAGGCAGTAAGTAGGGTAGCGCGGGCTGCGTGGGCAGCGAGCAGGCCACGCGGGCAGCAGGCAGGCTACGCAGGCCGCCAGCAGGCGGTTCGCGGGCTGGCGAGGGCTGCGCGCGGTGCTACCGGGCTGCGCGCGGCGCTAACGGGCTGCGCGCGGGGTCCTAGCGGGCTGCTCGAGAGGTCCTAGCGAGAGGTTCGCAGGTCGCGCGGGCTGCAGCAGCAGCGAAAAAAAGGAAGGCCATGCGTGGGCAGCGGGCCACACGCGGGCAGGGAAGTAGGTGGGGAAACGCGGTAACAAGGTGGGCCCGAAATTCTAGGTCCTAAGGACCTCCTCCTCTGATACCATGTCAAAATAGAAGGAGCAGTTAATGGATGAGTATCGAGAAAGTTGGGTACAAAATAGGAACAAGGGGTTGTACCCCATAGTGGCTACCCCACTACAGCCTAGATAAATGACCTAAGTATATATGTTTGACAACCAGGGTCGAGCATAGCGGGCGGGAACACGTGCTCTGCGCCCATCTCCCATGGGGTTGCATCTCCTCCGCACGAGCCGGCATTCTTAATAGGACTGTTGCTCGTTTCAGTTAACCTCGCCGTCATCATCATTGCAGACATGACCTGAGCCGAGGTCCATTTGGGGTACTTCTGGATGATTAACGAGGCTAGCCCCCCCAAATGCGGGGTGGACATGGAAGTACCCGTGAGGCAGGCGGTCGTGCCCGGCTCGCCGATTTTCTTGGAGGGAAAAGAAGCTACAAGGTCAACGCCAAGGCCGATGATATCTGGCTTGAGAATGTCGTTAGCTGGCAAGGGGGGGGGGGGGCTATGTCAGAGGGCGGCACGAGGGGCCCACGAGAAGAAAAGTCGGCGACCATGGGGGCGGAGGAGGCGGCAGTGAAGGTGATTCCCCCGTCGGCAGTGAGCGTGGCGTTGCTGTCGCCCGTGCTGTTGCTCCTGGCAGTGGCGACAATGATGGCGTTGAGAGGGTTGAAGGACTCAGTCCTGGTAGGCGAAGAAGCTAAGGACGCCCCCCTTGCGATCGTGCTGCGGGAGATGGGAAGAGTGGAGCGCGGGTTGGGGAAGAAATGGCTGGTTGAGTGACACGGTTTTGGTCAATGCACATGCAGCAGCAATACACAGTAACATGGCAACAACAACAACAACGCGAATAGGGACAGCCACGCTGTGCTAAGGCAAGGCGCAGCAACTTTGCATCACAGGAGTCAGGCTGAGGAAACCACGGCAGCAACTTTGCTCACCTGGCACCAATGCAGAGGACGAAGGGCTCGAAATTGGACACCGTGCGGTAGACACCTCCCTGCGACCGCCCAGGGGCTCCTCCGTTGCCCGCGGCCAGGACCACCAACACCCCCGCAGTATTGGCCCTCAAATACAGCAGGTCGCTGAAATAGTCCTGGTTCGAATCCACTCCTGCTAAAGAGATGGAGATCACATCCACGCCGTCAGCCACGGCCTGATTGATGGCCACCGCGATGTCTGCTCCGTTGCACTCACCACCTCCGTTGCTGCGCGACCAGCAGACCTTATACACGGGAAGGCGCGCCGCAGGAGCCATGCCGCTCATCTGCCCGCTGCCCTGCATGCTCACAGGGTTCCCCGCTGCCGCGCCCGCGCACCACGTGCCGTGGCCACTCCCGTCGCGCGGCGACAGCCAGTCGTTTTGCAGCGAGGGCGAGCCGAACGCGGCGTAGAAAGCCCGGGCGCCAATCACCTTGTTGCACCGGAATGAGCTCGACTGCTCGCACTTGCCCTTCCACCCAGACGGCAGCTTCGAGCTCATCCCTTGATTGCTAAAAGAGGGGTGTTCTGGCCAAATGCCGGTATCAACAATCCCCAACACTGTCCCTTCGCCCGCCTTGCTCCGACCGCCCACTGCCGGCCACACCTTCCCCGGGAGCCCGAGGAACTTGGGAGAGTCGGTGGTCTGGATGCTAAACATGCGGCTCAGGCTCACGGATGCGACGTCGGGATGGCGCTGCAGCCGCCACACCTGGTGCGCGGTGAGGCGCGCCGCGAAGCGTTGGACGTGTGCTTGTAGCTGTAAAGCAGGTCTGAGTCGAGTACGCCCTCCTCAGATGCCACCTGCGCCTGCTGCCGCTGCAGCAGCGTCGCGAAAGCCGCCACATGCGGCCGGTCCATGCTTAGCCGCATTCGGCGCTGCGCGCGCCCGCCGTTGCCACCGTTTGAAGCCGCGGGCGAAGACACAGTTGTGTTGGGCCCCGAAGTAAAGGCGGAATCCCAGGCATGATTGGCAGTATCAGCAGTGCTACGAGTCGTTGTGTCGTCCAAGTACAGAGCTTCATGCTTCACCGCCCTCCAAGACGCCGCATTCAGCCCCGCCGGGGCGGCGTCGTTAGAACTAGCTGCGTCTTGAAGATCCATCTCCGATGTTAAGGCGTCGTCCCCGTCATTCTCGCTGCGGCTGCCGTCGTCCCACGTGGCAGTGGCGGGGTAGCCGGTGATTCCGCCGCAGTATTCGACGAGTGGTGGCGCGGAACTCAGGCGCACGATGTAGACGGACCCGCTTCCGCCATTGCCGCCGCCGCCATTGCCGCCACTGCCGCCGCTCGCGGGCGCTTCAAGCGGCTGAAACCCTCTGCCGTCGCGCCACGCTCGGTTCGCACCGGACGGCTGTGCTGGTAGCAGCAGCGCGCCGAGTATCATCAACAAAATCGCAACGGTAGGGCGGCACCGGGCCATGTTAATCAGCTATGGAGGATTCTAACGCCCAGGTGGAACTCGTCGTTGCTTCGAGAGGAACAAACAGAGGAATTCAGATGAGATGATTCGATTGGGAGGCTGCCTCCACCACACTTGGTTGGGGCTGTATCGCATCATCGTGCGCGGCGCGATGTGCTGGGATGACGAAGATCTGGTGAAGGTCCGGACTGAAATCTACGGGGCTGGATGGAGTGTGGAACTCGGGCGACAGAAATGGATGGTGAATCTGGGCCGTGCACGGTATGGGTCTATCAACACCTCGACTCGCACTCGGACCAAACTTGACGGTCTATAAAAATATTACCGTAGTTGCGAAGCGCTGGTAACTCGAAGGGAATATCCTGTATAATTGTTTGCTGAGCCCATTGTTCGTGGAGGCAGACCTTGACAATAAAGGTGATGTTATCACCAATATACATGGAGTCCAAATCTATGATGCTTACGCGCAGCACTACTCACTTCTACGCGAATAGACGTGGAAGGGTAGGTAGCGAGGCAGGACATGAGCAGTCTGGTATGTGTGTTGCTGTGCATCGGCTGCTGCTGCTGCTGCTGCGTGTGTTGCGAGATTGAGCGTGATAGTAAATCTGGTTCAACTTTGCTGAGTTGACTCTCTTCTCTTGGCTCTATCGGTGTGTGTTTTTAGGGAGGACACAGCTAGGAGTTTCTGATTGTCAGAGGCCTGCTTGTTGCCATTGCCTGTTCAGAGCATTGGGTGGTGTTGTATTTAATGTGGAGAAACTGGTTCCTATCTAGATGCAGAAACAATATTATAGAGAATAGAGAGACTGGTATGGTACAGCAGTGCAAGCATCCTCTATCCAATCATCCTCTATACAATCATCCATTATCCACTCTAACCCATCCACAGATATGGTAGGTATATGCAATCCCCAAAAGCAGCCGCATGCATGGTTTACGTAATCCCTCCTCATTCACCAACGCCCCTCCCTGCCACCTGGTACCCGTACACCACACTTCCACATTTACCATACTTCCCTGATTACCGTATGATGCGCCTCTCTGAAACCAGTCCACACTACGTGCTAAACCCAACCCCATGCCCTGAGAAATGCAAAGGCTACTGCTGCACACTCATAGGAAGAGCATCAGCACAACAGCTCGTGTCTTGGAGAAGTATAGTAGTACCAGAGCCCACAGTGGTTGTTCAGAAGAAACAGTGAGGACCAGCAGCACCGTCTGTCCAACCCACACCACCAAACCCCAACCCTTAGCGCGGGATCGGCTGCACCACGAGGGGAGAGCGCACGCTGTGGCCCTTGTTGTCCTTCCACACAATAAACCCGTACTTGAAGTCATTGCTGGGTGTTTCCACCGTGATTTTGACCGTGTATGTCGCCTTTTGCCCTAGAGCAAGCGTAAAACTCGCAGGCCCAACAGACAACTGCACACCTGGTGGCGCCTTCCCAGATACATTGTACGTGGACACAGAGCTTCCCACGCAGGTGACAGTGCGGGTGACTTGAACAGAGCCCTGCAGGCGAGGCAGCGTGATGGTGGGGAGGTTGAGATTGCGCACGGCCAGAGGGAAGAGCCACCACACCCCTGGGAACTCCTTCTTCGCGCGGTTGAGGTCCTGCCCGGCCAGAAAATTCTGGTAATCTTTCTCTCGAACGTCATATGTGAGACCAGGGTCGAGCATTGCAGGTGGGAACACATGTCCTGCGCCCATTTCCCATGGGGTTGCCTCCGCACCCGAGCCTTTAGTCTTAATAGGGTTGTTGCTCGTGTCAGTCACCCGCGCCGTGGTCATCATTGCTGACATCACCTGGGCCGGGGTCCAGTTGGGGAACTTCTGGATGATTATCGCGGCTAGCCCCGCCAAATGCGGGGTGGCCATGGAAGCACCCGAGAGGCGGGCGGTCGTGCCCGGCTCACCGATTTTCTTCGAGGGAAAAGCAGCTAGAAGGTCAACACCAGGCCTGATGATATCTGGCTTGAGAATGTCATTAGCTGGCCGGGGGGGGCTGGCTGTGTCAGAGGGTGGTACGAGGGGCCCACGGGAAGAGAATTCAGCGACCATGGGGGCTGCAGAGGCGGCAGTGAAGGTGATTCCCCCGTCGGCAGTGAGCGTGGCGTTGTTGTCGCCCGTGCTGTTGCTGCTGGCAGAGGCGCCGGCGATGGCGTTGAGAGGGTTTAGGGACTGAGTGCCGGCAGCCAAAGCTAAGGACGCGCCCCTTGCAATCGTGCTGCGGGAGAAGTGGAAGAGTGGAGGGCGGGTTGGGAGAGAAATGGCTGGTTGAGTCACACGGGTTGGATTATTGCACAATGCACATGCAGCAGCAATAACGTACTAGTATCGCGGCTAGCAACAACGTCACGGCGACTGGGAACACGGCTACCACGGAGCATTTAAATCGTGCGTGCCTTATTAAACGATCTGCGCACGACTGATGACCAAACACACGCAAAGGCAAGGCTCAGCAGGTTTGCATCACACGAGTCCAACAGTAAAAACCACGACAGCAGTGGCAGCAGCTCACCTGGCGCCAATGCTGAGGAAGAAGGGAGAGAAATTGCCCACCGTTCGGTAAATCCCTCCCTGCAACCGCCCGGGGGCTCCTTCATTGCCCGCAGCCATGGCCACAAACACCCTCGCAGCGTTTGCCCTCAAATACACGAGGTCGCCAAAATAGTTTTGGTTGGTAACCAAGCCTCCTAGAGAGAGGGAAAGAACATCCACACCGTCCGCCACGGCCTGATTAACGGCTCCAGTGTCGACACCACCACGTCCCTCGCTGTCCGTCCATAAGACCTTGTACACTGCGAGGCGAGCTGCAGGCGCCATGCCGCTCATCTGCCCGCCACCCTGCATGCTCACGGGGTTGCCCGCTGCCGCGCCTGCGCACCACGTGCCGTGGCCGTTGCCGTCGCGCGGCGACAGCCAGTCGTTTTGCAGCGAGGGCGAGCCAAACGCGGCGTAGAAAGCCCGGGCGCCAATCACCTTGTTGTTGCACCGGAATGAGCTCGACTGCTCGCACTTGCCCTTCCACCCAGACGGCAGCTTCGAGCTCATCCCTGCATCGCTAAACGACGGGTGTTCTGGCCAAATGCCAGTATCGATAATCCCCACCACTATCCCGTCGCCTGCCTTGCTCTGGCCACCCACTGCCGGCCACACCTTACCCGGGAGCCCGAGGAACTTGGGTGAGTCGGTGGTCTGGACGCTGAACATGCGGCTGGGGGTCACGGACGCGACGTCGGGATGGCGCTGCAGCCGCCACACCTGGCGCGCGGTGAGGCGCGCCGCGAAGCCGTTGGAGGTGTGCTTGTAGCTGTAAAGCAGGTCTGAGTCGAGTATACCCGCCTCAGATGCGACCTGCGCCTGCTGCCGCTGTAGCAGCGTCGCGAACGCCGCCACCTGCGGCCGGTCCATGCTCAGCCGCATTCGGCGCCGCGCGGCGCGCCCGCCGTTGCCGTTGTCGCCGCCGCTGCCTGTGGCTCCTGCGGGCGCAGGCGTAGTTGCGTTGGGCTCTGAGTAGAAAAAACTCCAGTCGTCGTCCCAGTAAGGCAGCGGCACGGTCAGCTTCACCGCCCGCGACGGCGCTGCATCATCATCAGCCGCAGCAGCGCTGCGAGGTGGAGCCGGAGTCGTTGCGTCCTCGACTTCATGCTTCGCCGCCCGCAAAGACGCTGCGTCTGCTCCTGCGGCGACGTCGGTGGCTGCAAGGTCCATCTCCGGTACGGATTCGTCGTCGTCGGCCCCGTCATTCGCGTCGCGGCCGTCGTCCCACGTGGCAGTGGCGGGGTAGCCGGCGATTCCGCCGCGGTATTCGACGAGCGGTGGCGCGGAGCTCAGGCGTACGATGTAGACGGACCCGCTTCCGCCATTGCTGCCATTGCCGCCGCTCACTGGTGCTTCAAGTGGCTGGAACCTTCCACCGTTGCGCCAGGCTCGCCGGTTCGCGCTGGACGGCTGTGCTGCTAGCAGCAGCGTGGCGAGTATCATCAGCAACATCGCAACGGCAGGACGATACCGAGCCATGTTGATCACGAGAACAGATTCTAGTAGCGTCTAGATAGTAGAACTCGTCCGACGAGTCGTTGCTTCGAGAGGAACAAACGGATTTCAGATGAGATGATGAATTGATCGCGGGGCTGCCCAGTTTTATCCGCCCCTCCGTCCACCCTCGGGTTCCACATTTGGTTGGGGGGCTGAATCGCATCGCGTCGCGCGCGGCGCGGTGTTTCCTGGGAGATGACGAAGATCTGGTGGGGTCTGAAACCCGAAATATCAGACGGCGTTGACCGCTGGATGTAGCCGGGAGGATGTAGCCGGGAACTCAGGGGAGAGAGAATGGATGGTGGATCCGGGCCGTGCTCGGCACAGGTCAAGCAGCACCTTGAAAAATAGTGACTGGTCGCGAAGAACTCGAGTTGTTTTGGCTGTAGCGCCGTGTTTACTTGCTGAGAGCCACTGTTCATGGTTTCGGACCTTCACTACAACAGCCTATTACACTACATGGAGTCCGAACCTAACACTCTATCCCTCCACGCATTAGGGCGTGTTACATTTTTTTAATCTGGCTGGAGTCCGGACAACCGTCCGAGAACGGTTCAAATTCCGAATCTCGGGCAGTACGAGTCCAACGTCCGGACTAAACCTCGTCCGACGTTGTAGATGAAACATTTTCAACCTGGCGAAAATTCGAATGTTTGCGACGTTGTAACCACGATTACGAACAGATTACAATAAAGGTAACAACAAAGCAACTTGAAGACTTGAATCGTTGACCAATGAATTTGCGTTACTGTTACGTCCGTCCACTAATCGAACTGTAATCGTCCGGTCGATTTGGGAAGGCAATACGCGCAAAATGTTCCATCACCGGTCCGATCGTTAACGACGTCGCAAGTGGTCTAGCGAGGCAATTCACGAAACACAACGAGAAGGGTAACCACACATAAGTCCGGACCACTGCCTGTCCGGACGGGCTGAAGTGAAAAATGTAACACGCCCTTAGAGAAGTAGTAACGAGTCGTTCGTAAGGAACTTGAGCAGGGCTGACGAACCCGACCCGAGCCATTGTTGATGAGAGCCAAGACTGCGGAGCCCATATGAAGCCCGAATTTATTATGACAGTACACGCGCAGTTAAATACACGACCACAAAGAGAAATCCTTACATGCAGCATAGCTCTTTTATGCAGTAACAACTACCGTAAATGGACAGAGACACTAATCCCACTAGCTCACTGCACTATCTACATCGGAAATGTGACGACTACTTGCAAATGAAGGTTGGTCAACAGAAATACTACTACCTAGTACTACACATTACTTCACTACTGCACTTGTACCTCCTTCAACAGCACAACAAAATAATCTATACACTGCGAGATGTTGGAAATCCGAATACAGTATAACGAATACTGTATACCAGTGTGCTGTTTGCTTTTAGTGTAGTCCTCTTTATAAGCTTCCAGGTCCTACAATAATTGTGTGACAATTATTGTAGGGGCCACAATTATTGGAGCCTAGCATTATTGGAGGGTCGAGGGTACAATTATTGGAGCCTAGCATTATTGTCTGGAGGGGTAACTGGATGCATATATACCCTGCTCTGTCACTTCTTCAACATCATTGAGTAATCATTGAGTTATCATTGTGTCATCCTTCTACTTTTCAATGATCAATGCAAGATTTCTATCTTGTTCTTTTCTACAAACACGTTTCCGCTACGCTGGCACTATGCCTTTCTAGCACCAGACACCCCTCTACAATCATTGCACTCAGCAACAGCAACAGCACCACGCCATCCATCACTCAACCAGCTGTTTCTCAACAATCGCACCGTCGCCATCTGGTCTGGCACACTGCAGCAGCAGGGCCTGGCCCTCAACCCTCTGCGCCTCCAGCTGCAAGCGCAGCGCTTCCCACCGTGTGCGCTTCACAGTCTGTGCATTCGCTCGCACCTGCGCTTGCAGCTCTGCAAGCCGCTCCTCCTCCTGAGACAGCGAGGCCAAGGCCGCCAGATTGGCCAGGCGTTTCTCCTTGTGCTTGGCTCGCTGCTCTTTGATGGCGAACTGGAGAACGCCTTTGTGACTTCTGATTATCCCCTGCCAATGGTGATTTTTAGAGAGCGCGTTGCAGGGAGTCCGGTCGATATGGTAAAGGAAGTACATACAGACAAGTATTACGGTGCGACAGTGTGCATCAGCATTCATGCGCACTGAGAGTGCAGTTACAGCAGCAAAAACCATTTTGTTGATAAAAAAGGGCTTAACCTAAGATAGAACACGTGGAGATAAACATATTACGAGTGGAAAACACACACCTGGTCCACTTGCAGATATCGATCAAATGTCCTCTGGATAACACGTGCCTGCCAGTAACAAAGGAAACACAAATGAAGTGATGGCTATACTGACACGCACACAAGGTGTGAAAAAACGCTCATCACTCTATGCCCACCACCGCCATAAACTATCCTCTCCACTAGCTGGTACAGAAGTGATTCACAGGTTCACCCATGCATCCCCCATTTGAGAGACTAGGCTGCATGTACCTGTGCCTGCTGCCAATCTGCGGATGCATTGCCTCCCCCTCCTGACCTAATGCGCTCCTCGTAAATCTCCGTTGCCAGTGCCATCTGCTCCTCCTCCCGCCCCGCTGCTCCCATGCAGTCACAGAGTACAGGACAAACCCATGCATAACCAAAAAGAACCGCACACAGCAGCACGGACAGAGAGGAACAGCAGGCGCCGGTGAGTATGTGACAGCTAGGCAGATGCATCCGAGGAGAGCAGGGTCAAGCCACACTACTAGAACGAAGACGCGGATGGGGGAACAGGGGAGGAGGACACACGTTTACCAGGAAAAGCATCGGCAACGGTTGCAGGGCAAAAACACGGAAGGGCGAACTCGACGCGAGAAGAATGCACTACAACATTGAAGAGAGGTATTGGAGTGTTGGAGTGGGCGCACATTCATATTGGAGTGTCTCACTCACCTAAGAGCCGGCCCTTTACAGAGTGCCAGCAATCGAGGTAGGGGTGTGCGATTGGCCGCGCGTTGCGGATTTGTGAGAGAGCCGAGTCCAGATCCATTCCCTGTGGGGTGGAGGCACAGGAGAATAAGGCGGACACGTGAGGAGCAGCAGGCGGAATGGAAACTTGATGACCAAAGGGGTAAACGGGACGGGAAGAACGTTGACAAGAGCTGGTGAGTGGGTGAAAGTGGGTATCTGAATATGATCGCTGGTGCGTGCACGCACTAGACTAGCATTGATACACACACATGCACATGGGAGCGCACACACGGATGCACACACGCAGATGCACACATGTGCATGTATGTATAATGTACCTTGACAAAGGTGAGGTAGCCTAGCGCTGTGAGCGTGGCGCGGTTAATGCCAGCGGTGCAGTGAATGTAGACGTCACATCCCTCGGCGATGAGGAGGTTGACCATGCGCACGGCCACGGGCAGCATGAACGCCTGGTCGCCATGGTCAAAGTCCCGGATCGGTACTCTCTCCAGCCGCAGACCCCTCTGCACTGCCTGCTCTCGGATGGCAGCAATGGGGATCTGGAAGGGTAGGGAGTGGAGGAGGGGCAGTGGGAGTGGGAGTGGGAGTGGGAGTGGGAGGAAGGGAGAGGGGAGGGTTTAGGAGTGCCAAGAGAGGAGAAGGGGCAGATCGTATGGAAGCATACAGGAAGTGAAGTGCAGGTGCGGGTCAGGGAGGGGTTAGTGGGTGGGTCAATAGAGGTTAGCAAATTAGCGCAGTGTTGAATTGAATGGTTTGCATGAGCTGGATGCTTTCGGTTCGAGTGCTTTGGTACTGGAGGAGAAGGTGCAAGGGTCCAGAGGCAGGACGCAGGGGTGCAAGGGAGCAATGGGGCAAGGAAGCAAGGGAGCAAAAGGAGGAGGGGAGAAAGGGTGGGTGGGAGGGTGCGAGCGATACCTGCAGGGCGTCGAAGCAGAGGTCGGACTGCAGGTTGACCACGGCCGTTGCCCCACTCTCATCCACTATGCGATCCTGACGCACACACGCATGGGTGGCGAGGCAGGCAGCACGTGCAGGAGAGAAAGGGAGGGAGAGGGAGAGGGAGAGTGAAGCAAGGACTTAGCCTCTTCCTTCCTAGCCTCTTCCCCTCTCTTCCCCAGCTATATAATGGCCTCCTGGCCTCTGGTTTAGCTCATTCTTCATTCGGTGTTCCAAAATTTTCGGCGCTCGTTCGAGAGAGCGAGAGAGAGAGGGAATCTACCTAAAAGGGCGACATGCAATACTACACGCGGCGGAAGCCTACATCGTGTACGGCTCTGCCCCCTCCACCTCAAGCATCGAACGCATGCACGTCGACACCACCAGAAGGAGCTGCGCCGACGACTGAAGCGTGCGCACCGGGGTCCCCTCCTGGGCGGCCACAAGAAGATCCTCCACGTGGCGGGGGAAGGTACGCGCTAAGGGCGCTACCCCGGCGGGCGCTTCCGACACGGGCGCCAATATCGGGGCGAGGGCTTCTGCCCAGGTCGCGCACGATCCTCGGGGACCTGGAGCGAAACTGCCCGGAGAGTTTTGCATGGCCCCACACACCGCCATCTGCAGGTTCGCCACCACCTCGCACGCCTCCGCAAGATTCAGCGTCCGGCACATGGTCAGCATGGGGTCTCTCCCCGCGCGAGTGGGGGGAGGTGCAATCGGAGCCTCACGCTGATACGCTGTCTCCCGGCCCGGAAGTCGGCCTCCCGAGAAGGGCTGCGCGGAGAAGCCAGGGACCTGCCGAGGGGTGCGGAACAGCGCCCTCCCCCCCCGCGCGGGCAGATACTCGCTCAATACCGGCGCGCGCAGAGGGGCCGCGACGTCAGGGGCTAGGGCGTGAGAATGACCGTTGGTCACCTCGATGTGGACGTGAGTTGGCTCACCAATCGCCCGCGCCTGGCGCATCGCCGCTGCAAACACATTCACGGCTTCACCAACCGCAGGATCCTGCCCGCGACCAGCTCCGCCGCGACCCGCTCCATTCCGCCGACCCCGACGGCCACCAGAGCCTGCCGAGTGCGGACGCGGGGGGGATTGCTCGCGGCGCCCAGAATCCCATCGTTGCCCAGGAGAACCCATCCCCCGCCTCGCCGGAGATCGACGCGGAGAGCGCTGCGCGGGGGATCGCGCTCGCGGTGAGCGCTGGGCTGCCCGATCTTGGGGAGATCGGTGACGGGGAGAGCGGGGGCTCGCAGGCGACAGCTGATCGCCAGCTCCATGGCGGCGAAGCTCGCGTTGACCAGGAGAGCGACGCCGAGGGGAACGTTGCTGCTGGGGCTGGCGCTGCGGCGATCGCCCACGCTCATGAGGCGGCTGTCCAACCGGACGATTCGACCCAACACGGGCCGGCGCCCACGAATACTCAGGAGAGTTTGGGCGCCCGCTCGCCTGATGAGGTAGAGACAGCCCGCGCTCCAGACGCTGCACGGGCTCAGACGCGGATGGATGCGCAGGAGCGCGGAGACGGGGTGCAGCGGGCGCCTGAGGACGAGGGCCCGCGCTGTCCACCGTACTCTCTTGCGCGCGGTCGCGACCCGCGGAGGGGTCCATCACGCCCGAACGAACCGCCGCGGACGCCAGCGGGCCGTCAAAGGAGGGGCCTTGGTACCGCCTCGGCGCCACAACCGACACGCAATATTGCAGCGGCGGCCTCCGCGCAGCACGGAATCCGCATAGGAAGAGGAGGGAGACGGGGTGGTCGTAGAGGAGGCGCTGCGGTTCAACGACGGGGCGCTAGTAGCTTCGCGAGGGCTGCTCACAGGATCCTGAGGGGAAGGGCTAGAGATGGGGAAGAATCGAGTGACGAGAACTCTGTGGGTGACCCTCTATTTAACCCTGAAAGAGAGGGTAGCCCCAGTCCCTCCCCCGAGTTAGAAGAGGCAGAGCAGGCTCGAGATGTGGACCGAACTCCAACACCGAGCCGAGCCGCATCTGCAATCCGAATTGGAAGACAGAGCCGAGTCGGGGGGGGAAACCGAGCCGCACAAATTGCAGATGGCACCCCAACTCGGGCCAATCAGCAGAGTGCAGATGCACCCACAGGCCTGCCCCTGTTCAGTGCAGGCGACCTGGCAAAACGCCAGGACCTTTTCGCTGCTGTCGCAACCTGGGACCTACACCCCCTTCGCGACAGCAGGCAACCACCTCTCGCCCGTCACCCACCTCGCACTCTTCGCGAATCTTTCGTAGCCTGCCTTCTCACCCCGCTGCTACACCTCGCAAAAGACCCTGACTCGCCTGCAAGCTGGAGACTGCTCATGTTCCTCCCGCGCATCCTCTTGCGCACCTCATCAGCCAAGCGCCCAGATTGGTCGAAGGTAGGAGCCAGGCTGATAAGGTTCCGCCAAGGCCAGTGGCGGAGCCTGTACGACGAGGCGGCTGACGCAGTATCCCAACCACCCCAGCCACGCCATGCGCCAGACACCACAAGCATCCTGGCAAGGGCAGAGGGACTCGCCAAACGAGGGAACCTAGCAAAATCCCTCCAATCCCTCACGGCCACGCCAGTCTCCCCCCCCTCAACTGACGTGCTTCGGGCTCTCTCAGCTCGGCACCCCCCTGCGCGCCAATCCATCCCGGAGTGGGTGTCGGATTTCACCAAAGATTCCACCCCTTCAATCCCTCCACGCGACTTCAGACGCATTCTCGCCAAATGCCCGAACGGAGTGGGCGCTGGTCCCTCGGGCACCACCTTCGAACACCTGAGGGACGCAGCACTTGGGAATACGGACATCTTCCTGCAATTGCACGTACTCACAAACACGGCGTTAGCCGGAAAACTCAGCGCGGAAGCAGCAGAACTCCTCACTGCGTCACGCTTACTTGCTTTCACGAAGCCCCATGGGGGCACACGGCCTATAGCAGTAGGCGAATGCCTGCTCAGATTAGTAGCAAAAGCGGCTCTATTCTTGGCGGCTGAGCACGTGATCACTTCGCACCGCTGCAATTCGGGGTGGCGGTAGCAGGAGGCATCGAGGCGGCGGTGCACACGGCAAGGACATACCTGGAGGAGAATGACGGGGCTGTGGCGCTACAAATCGACCTGGCGAACGCCTTTAACGCGGTCGAGCGGGCAGCAGTGTTTGAAGGCCTCAAGGGGACCACCCTGGAATTCATGGTGCCCCTGGTCCGGCTCTCCTATGGTGTCCCCTCGGAACTGCACCTCGACCACGCGTTTCATGCCCCCCCCCTGCAATCCGCGCGCGGCGTATGCCAAGGGGATCCGCTGGGCCCGCTCCTCTTCGCCGCCAGCATTCACCCGTGCCTGGTAGCCGCGGCGGAGGCGCACCCAGAAGTCGTCATCCTCGCCTACGCGGACGACATTACGCTCCTGGGGGAAGCTGAGGCGTGCACAGAGACATTCAATCACCTCACCAGGGCGCTGCTTCCCCTAGGCCTGGAACACAACCCCGAGAAGTGCGCAACATGGTCGGCGGCGCACATTGACCCCGCCTCTCTTCCGCCGCATGTACCTTTCTCGGCGGACGGGATCCGCGTCCTGGGGAGCCCAATAGGCCCGCAGGCGAGATGCGCAACGCTGGTACAGGAGCGCCTGTCAGCAGCAGCAGAGCCACTTCCGCTACTGTCACAAATGGACCCGCAGCTGTGCCTGCTACTCCTAACACGGTGCGTGAGCCACCGCGCCTCCTACCTCGTCAGAACGACGCCCTTGGAGGTGCTGCCAGCGGACACCTGGTCAGAGTGGGGGGAGCAGCTGCTACACACTTACCTGACGGCGGCACACACGACGATACCCAGGGAGGAAGCAGAGCGGGGGAGAATCTGGCGGCAGGCCGCCCTGCCCGTGACGCAGGGCGGCCTCGGCATCACCAACCCAGCCACGGAAGGGGTGTTCGCTTACCTAGCCTCGGTCATTTCCACGGCCCACCTGCTGCGCTCGTTCGGCAACACGTTGCACCCCTCAATCGCCCAGATGCTGCCGCTACTAGATGCAGACGCGAACTCACCCTTGGTCCTGCCAAGGCGCCTCGCAGCGGCAGAAGCCACGCGGCCCCCAGATGGACTAGAAGCTCTACAGGCCGGCCGACGCGGGACGGATGGCCCGAAGTTACAGCAGGCCCTGTCGCTGGCCGTCCACACAGCCCGCTATATTGAGGTGCTCGATGCCTCGCGGGAGATGCCCCTGAACCCGCTCTACGGCCACACCCAACGCCTGCAGTCACTCCTCGGCCCCGGGGCGGGAGATTGGCTGCTAGCCATCCCCCTGGTCCCGGCTCTTCGCCTCGGCCCCTCGCATCACTCCACTGCATCCTCCTTCCGCCTAGGCCTCCCCCTTCCCGTCCCTCGGCGCTGCGACTGCCGCCACCGCACGACCTTCCCTGACCACCGCCTACCCAACCACCTCATGCGTTGTGAGAAAGGCGGGGGGGGGATTGCCACTCACCATGCTCTTCGGGATGAGTGTGCGAAGATCGCAGCAGAGGCAGGCTACACGGTGCACAAGGAATCCACAGTGTACTCACCGGTCGAAAACCTCAAAGCGGACGTTTGCATCCGCCATCCCGACACCGGTGAAGTCCACATGTGCGACATCACCGTGACGGACCCGGTCTCTCACCAGGACGAGTTTGCGCGGAAGGCGCCTGGGTGAGCTGCAAGGATGCAAGCCGCCAAGAAAGAAGACAAGTACGCGCGGCGGAACGCATGGGTGGGCTTCCATGCCATGGCGGTTGAGACGTACGGCTACCCGTCCCCGGGAGTGCACGCCTTCCTCCGCAGCTGCGCCGAGCTCGCGGGCAAGCGGCGGTTCAACGCTGCGCCAAAGTCAAGGGAGGTGGCCAGGCTCCTTACGGAGTACCGTCAGCGCTTGAGTGTGACACTCCAGCGCGCCCAGGCCAATGCCCTTCGCGACAAGACCCACGAGGCCATTGCCGCGGATGAGCTTGGCCTGCAAGGCCCGTTTGGCAGCTTGGGTGAGGAGCAGGTGTACCAGCTGCTGGAAGACCCCACAGGCCAGTAGGGCCGTGGGGAGAAGGGGTAGCAGTGGGATGAGTAGTGGTACCTTTGTGTGTTTTCTTGGTTGTTGGCTTGCCTGTTTGTCGTTTGATTGCTTAGACTAGCTTAGTACCCAGGTCTGTACCTTGATGATACTAATACGAAGGACCGTTCGAGAGAGAGTGAAGCAAGGACTTAGCCTCTTCCTTCCTAGCCTCTTCCCCTCTCTTCCCCAGCTATATAATGGCCTCCTGGCCTCTGGTTTAACAAGGATGGCATATAGCATGGCAACGACGACAAACATGGCAGACAACGACAACTAGGAGAGCAAACATGGAGCAGGTCTACTCACGCGCGAAAGGGGCGCCTACATGCGGTCGGCCTCAAGCTCACCAAGCGTTTCGCGCGTGGTCAACCACATCAGGCGGACCACTGACGCGGTGGCGCCGACAACGTCAACAGGAGTTCCTCGAGATCCGACAAGCGTCTTCACATCCAGGGCCTTCTCGGCCAGCTGGGTGGCCGAGACTACTCCCGGCGAGGGCGCAACCTGCAGTGGCGATACGTACGAGAATAGCGCTGACGCCGCCGCATGACACCGTGCTCGCGGCATCTGAGAGAATGTGCTCGGTGGGGTCACCGCCATGGAGCCATGGGACTCTAGGAGTATCAGCTCAAGGCTCTGCAGGCTCTCCGTCAGCGACCACAAGCGCGCCAGGGTCGTCGTGGGCACTTATTTCATTGGCGGAAGGACAGCAGCGGCGCGCGTTCGGCGGGGCGACCCAGCGAGATCACGCGGAGGGGAGCGAGGACGTAGGGGTGCATACGCGGTCCAGGGATCCCCACCACCCGCGCCCACGAAGCCAGCCCCTGCTGGCAGGGGACGACCAGGACGCACAAGGGAGCCCTCTGGGTTGTGCGGCAGGAGGGCAGCAAGAGGAACGACGGGGCCAGCCGGAGGCACGGTATGAGATGACGCCTCCGCGTTCGAGCGGTGGAGCGCTTTCTCCACGCCGTCCAACCTTCGGAGAACGCGCTCTAGTTCGGACGGCGCTTGACGCGCCGTTCCGCCGCGACCATAACCTCCCCGCTGCCCACGACGCCCATGCCCACTTGCATTCGAGTGAGCGGGCGACTGCTGGCGAGATGGGACGCGTTGGCGCTGGCGACCAGGTGATCGGCCCCCGTGACGAGGAGAGTAGAGCCGCTGGCGCTTTGACGGCCGCGGCGAACGCGCAGACGGGGACCGAGGGCGAGAAGCGTGCGGAGCAGGCGATCGATAATGTGTGGCTTGGCAACCGGGCGAGCGGTGACGACACGACCGGCGGTCCGGAGATCGGCTCCTCGATGCCGCGCGGCGAGGTGAACGTGGTGAGTGCGGTGATCGCGGCTTCCGAGGCGATCGAGGCTCGGCGTGACGCTCCACACGGTGACTCTCCTGCCCATCACCGCGCGCCACTGTCGAACGGCGACGAGGCGAACGTTCCTAGCGCGCCGCAGCCCCTGCGTCGGAGCGCACGACGGACTCCGCGCGCGCAGGCGCTGGTCCGGGCCGCTGATCTTCGAAACGGCGACGAATCTGATCAGCGGCAGCCAGCGGAGCGACAGGGACGCTCGCGGCAGGACGCGCAGGAGGAAGCGGACGGGGAGCGAGATCGCTCACCACGGAACACCCGCGGTCAGGAGCAGCCAAGGGATCCATCGGAGCAGCGTGATGATGGCGCTCGCCCAACGGGCGGCCGACGCGGCGGAGGTAGAGCTGCAGGCCGGGGAGGACGAACAGCTGGACGCGACGGGAGAGCTCGAGGCGGCGGTCCGGAGAACGTGTACCAGCAGGCGGGACGTAGGGCTTTAACTGAGATGAGCAACGATAATCATACAACCACTTCAGACAGCAGCTTTGTAGCTGCAGAGTCCACGGACTCGACCTCGAGCTCTGAGTCACTGGAAGACGAGCAGCAACAGACCCCTGCTCGAGCAAGCAGGCCAGCAGCATCTCACCTGCCGAGGGGGAACTCAGTTGTGAGATCCAACAGGAGGGGTCCCCCAACACCAACCAGGGCCGCATTGGGCAATTTTGCCCCTCCACCAATCCCAACCCCGATTTCCAACATTCAGACCCCTACCCACACCGCCCCCCAACCTGCACCTGGCGGTAACCACGTCCCAACCCAGCCCTTAGAGGAAAAATCCCCCGAAACGCTCGCCAAGGACGATACGCTATTCGCCAACGTTTCAGCCTGGGATCTCACGAAATTGCGCGACTCTCGCCAAGCACCCCTTTCCCGCCACCTCCCACCAGACCCACGCAAGCTTTTCGCCACAGCCTTGTTGGTGCCGCTGTTGCGCTTGGCGAAATATCCAGACTCGACCTCTGCTTGGACGGTCGTTCTATTTCTCGCCGATTAACACTTCGCCAGCTGTCCCCACGACGTCCTGACTGGAAGGCTGTCAGTGCCCGCCTTCGTCAGTTTCTGTCCGGAGAACGGGAAAGCTATACACTGAGACAATAAGCTCACTGACGTGGCCCCAACCACCTAGACACCAGCCCGATGACATTGGTGTCATCGCTAGGGCAGAGGGGTTGGCGCGACGTGGCAGCCTACGACGAGCCGTGATGGCACTTGAAGCCACGCCAGTCAGCATTCCCTCCCCAACCGTGCTGGAGGCCCTACGTGCCAAGCACCCGCCAGCGCCCGCCTCCCCACCTGACTGGACATTTCCAGCACCTGACCCTCACCTATCGGCACCGTCTGCAGTCTTCTCCAAGGTGCTGGGAAGCTGCGAGATGGGAGTGGGAGCGGGCCCTTCTGGAACAACGTTTGAACACTTACGCGATGCAGCGCTGATCAACCACTCCGTTGGGAAACACCTGCACGCACTAGTCAACACGATACTCACAGGAAACTTACCTCCTGCAGTGGCTGAGCTCCTCACCGCCTCAAGATTGATTGCCCTGAGCAAGCCCGATGGGGGGACGCGGCCAATTGCCATCGGCGAAAGCATGACACGCCTCGCGGCTAAGACGGCGCTTACCTTGACCGCAGGGGCCGCCCGTGAGTTCTTCCTGCCGCACCAGTTCGGCGTGGCAGTCCCTGGTGGGGCGGAGGCGATTATCCACACCACACGCTCTTACCTCACGGTGAACACAGGAGCTTTGGTCCTGCAGGCTGATCTGGCGAACGCTTTTAACAGCGTTAACCGCGACGCCATCATCACATCTCTCCGGGACTCCACTCTCGCTTCACTCTTACCGTTAGTTAAACTGTTGTACGGCCTTCCCTCGGCTCTATGTCTGGACGCTGGCTTCTCACACCCACCTCTGCTGAGCGAGACCGGGGTGCGACAGGGAGATCCCCTCGGCCCATTGTTATTCGCTGCCGCCATACACCGTGCGCTGACAAAAACAGCGCTCAGCTTCCCCTCCGTGGTCTGTCTTGCCTATGCGGACAACGTAACTTTTCTTGGAGATGCAGCCACGTGTGCGGCGGCGTTTGAGGACTTCACAGGAAACCTTGGGGAGATCGGGCTGCGCCACAACCCAGCCAAGTGCGCAGCCTGGTCTCAGGCAGGCCGGCAGGGAGCAGCGCTACCAGTGGGCGTACCTTACACTGAAGATGGGGTGAAGGTGCTTGGCAGCTTCATCGGTGGCAGCGACGCAACTGCCGCGTTCCTGCGTGCCAGCCTCGACACCATGGGCGGGCCGCTGCCCTTAATCGCGCGGATGGAGCCGCAGCTGGCTTCCCTCCTGCTCTCACGGTGCATCTCACGACGGATCGCTTACGTCGCCCGCACCACGCCGCTTTCAGCCCTGCCAGTCGAGGAGTGGTCAAACTGGGGTAAAAGGCTGTTTGAGACGTTGCTGACTGCCTGCAGCATTCGCCACCCACGGGGGGAGGCCGAGATTTCACGTACCTGGGCGCAAGCGTCACTCCCCATCTCGCTCGGCGGTCTGGGTCTCACACACCCCTCGGTGGAGGGACGTGTTGGGTTCCTCGCAAGCTACACGCAAGCGCAGCACCTGCTCACCTCCATTGATGAGTCGGCTGTCGGCGCCTTGGCGGAAACGCGGATCCGGATGGTGGGGCCGTTCATCAACACGTCCCCGCTCTTTGACTGGTTGGAGAGGTGTGAGGAGTCACTGCCGGACGATGGGAGGAGCTGCTGCAGAGCGACCGAGTTGATCCCAAGGGCGTCAAGCTGCAGCACGGGCTGGCAATCGCGGTCCACGGACTGCGCTACGCGGAGCAGGTGCAGGCTACACGCATCATGCCACTCAACCCACTAAGCGGGCACACTCAGCGCATGCATTCACTCTCAGGGTATGGGGCAGGAGACTGGCTCAATGCAGTCCCCTTCAACTCGACACTACGGCTTGCTGCGGCTCACTTTGCGCATGTGCTGCAGTTCCGGATGGGGTTACCCTCCTCGGCACCTGGCGCGTGTGACTGCCGCAAGGAGACGACAATCCTTGACAGGCGGCTGCCCAACCACCTGCTGCGCTGCGACACAGGGAAGGGGCGGACCAACACGCACAATGAACTGCGCGATGCGTGCCTGCACATGGCCGCCGACGCTGACTTCATGACTCACAGTGAGACGACCGCGTTCTGCCCCGTCACTCTGAAGAAAGCCGACATTGCGATCCGGGACAAGTCCTCAGGAGCAGTGTGGATAGGGGACGTGACCGTCACGGACCCCATTAGCACACGGGATCCCAACGCGGTCAAGGGCAGGGGGTGGGCGGCCAGGGAGGCGGCAGAGAAAAAGATCTCCGACTACGAGGGCTCAACGGCCTCGTGGGTCGGATTCTTCCCTCTCGCCGTTGATACCTATGGCTGCCCCTGCGCGGAGGTCCCTCAATTCCTCAAACTTCTGGCCGACACCGGCGCGCGCAGGCTCTTCAACGCGGCCCCCTCATCTTACCAGGCAACAAAGCTGTTGCATCAGTTCCGCCAGCGGTGGTCCGTGGCGCTGCAGCAGGCGCAGTCGGTGAGCTTCATGACGAAGTGCAACTATGCGGCACAGGTGGAAAACCCACCTGTGTTGCTGCCGGGCGAAGGCATGTCCATCGGGGACTGCCTTGCCATCCTGGAGCCTGCATTGGAGCTGCCTTAGAGGGTGAACGAGAGTAGGTAGGATATGAGGGTTTTAGAGGCTGAGGTGCATTGCTTCTTATAACCTTGTGCATGTCTGTACCTTGCTCGGATCTAATACACGGACCGCTTGAGGGAGAGGGAGAGGGAGAGGGATAGGGAGAGGGAGAGGGAGAGGGAGAGGGAGAGGGAGAGGGGAAAAAGAGCAGCACGAGGTGGGAGATGTACGAACATTCAGGCTAAAAAGGATGAGCAAAAGCGAGAGCTTGTGGTAATATGAAGTGGTAGAGCTTCCAGGTAGGCATTCACGCTTGCAGTAAGAAAAAGACCTGGTCGTCATTGCTCGTCATTGCTCTCTTACAAGGTAACGACAAGCTGTGCACCATTGACACGAGAGGGAAAAATTTCACCGTGAGGGCAAAGGGAACGTACGACGTCTGAGGGGCTGCGAGGGCAGGAGCCGACAATGACACCGGGCGCTATGCGACTCCAATTCAACGTCCACCTCCACTCTCCGCCCACGTTCCCGCCTCCTCCTCCCCCTCCCCCGCTCTCGCGCTGCATTCAGCCGCCAGACACAATCCAACACGTCAGCAACCCGTTCTGCGGAATATGAAGTTCGCTTTTTCTTCAACCAGAGACTAGAGCAACGGCTATTAGTGGGAAAGAGCTAATAAAAAGCCCGCACGGATACTTTACTTTGGAGACTGTTACGGTCGATCCTAATCCACATTGCCTTCCAATCGCCAACTACTACCTTGACTGCGTTCCATTCACTAAGCCAGCATTCCCCGTTCAACGCACCTGCCGCTTCTCCCAATCCGCCCGCTCGGCCTCCGTGGCCCACTCCCCGCCAGCTCTGACGCACGTGCGCTCACCCCTCTTCCGCTCGCCCCGCTTCTGCGCACCCGCGTTCCGCGCGTCCGCCTCCGCTCCCCACGCTGCGGAGAATCCGCTTCCACCGGGCAGCTGGCGACAGGCTGCTAGCGAGCGAGACCTGTCGTGCGACGACCCTGTGCGACATGCGACGACCTCGGCGACGCGACCACGGTCGCGTCTAGTCGTCGACGACACGCGTACGGAGAACGCGGTAACAGGCGAGAGAGATAGATATGGCTTCCCTGAGACGGGTAGCTGCTTGGCACGGTAAGTTTCACGTCGAAAACACGTCGACGACGTTTCCGCCGGAGAGATTAGCGACATGCCGCTTAATGCCATGGCATACGCAGCGCAACGCACGGACTCCGCGATGGCCGAACGTTTCCTTTCAATGGAAGAAGCTGGGAAAGTACGCAGACGCTCTAATAACCACCACTTACGTTGCGAAAGCACGCAGGCTAGAAAGCATCCAGTGCGTATGGTGGTACGTACGCATCCACGCTAGCCGAACTACGGTTCCACTTCTGACATCCAGCGTTCGTTGGAAATAGCCGTTGAAGGAACAAATCCCACACGAGCATGGAAGTTCTCGCAAATGCATTACCGCGCTATAGAATGATATGGTGATGAAGCCCTGTGATGAGTTCGGGTTTCTTGATGAGGCAATTCAAGATGACTCAATATTTGATAGAAACGAATCAGCCTACAACTGACTGCATCCCAAATGAACATTTTCCAGAGCAAACCAAATGCCACACACTAACAACGGCATAGCAGCATGATGCCAAATCACAGCTCGCCACACTCGGCAATGACACATGCGAGCTTGGGCCGGTTGTTGGGGCCCGTTTGAACATTCTCGATTTTCCGCACAACAAGAAGGGAATCTCCTAGCACTCGCTGCAGGAAAATGAGCAGAGAAAGGGCACAGGAAGAGAGCAGGGGCGGGAAACGGAAGGTATTTCTGGAGTTCAGTCAAGGAGAAATGAATGCCAGACTCGAACCCGAACAGGCAGTTGTTTGAAAGGTAAAATGCTAGCTTCAAAAAGCATGAGCAGCTATGGAGAAGAACGACCAGCTAAACTCAGCTCATATGGTAGCAGCAGGTAGGCATTTCAGGTGATGCACACATGTGTGTACTCAGCATTGCAGGCACAGGCACAGGCACAGGCACAGGCACATGACTTAGCAGCTCAACAGGAAGTCAGCTTACCCCAAAGACAACGTGCTTGTTATCAAGCCAGTCGCACTTGGCGCATGTCAGGAAGAACTGCCGGCACAGAGACACAGAAAAAACACAAACCAGCACCCAGCACAGAAGCACACCACATAAAGGATGATGATCTATGAATCATGGACCAGGGATCACCCCACCCACCTCCTCACTCTGCTACCAGTCTCTCTCATGCAAAGACTTTCTCTCCAGTACTCTGCATGCCTGTCCCTGCCACATGCTCTTCTACCATGCCTTAAACGGCATCCTCTAGCCAGGGGTGTTTTGAGTTGGCTCAAACCATGCATGCCTACCCATGTTAGAGGGTCTTGTTCCATGCGTCCAACCGACCGCACCCTGAACCCCTTCCAGATATTGCTACGCTGCGTTTCATGCTCTCCTTCTCTGCCTTGCAATCTCTGTTGCCACCCACTTAGCGCCCCCGCTTAACGCCCCCGCTTAGCGCCCCCGCTTAGCGCCCCCACATAGAGCCCCACTTAGCGCCCCCACCCACTTAACGACCCCACCCACTTAGCGCCCCCACCCACTTAACGACCCCACCCACTTAGCGCCCCCACCCACTTAACGACCCCACCCACTTAGCGCCCCCACCCACTTAACGACCCCACCCACTTAGCGCCCCCACTTAGCGCCCCCACTTAGCGCCCCCACTTAGCGCCCCCACTTAGCGCCCCCACTTAGCGCCCCGCCCCACTTAGCGGCCCCACTTATCGCCCCACTTAGCACCCCCACGTAGCGCTTCCACAAAGCGGCCCCACTTAGTGCCACCGCTTAGCGGCCCCCATAGCACCCCCTTAGCGACTCCACTTAGCAGCACCCGCCCGCTCATACGCTGCACCGCCGGCTCGTACGCTGCACCATCCGCTCATACGCTGCACCGCCCGCTCATACGCTGCACCGCCGGCTCATACGCTGCACCGACCGTTGGGGACTGGAGCTGCAGTCCCGGGTTGGGGGCTGGAGCTGCAGTCCCGGGTAGGGGGCTGGAGCTGCAGTCCCATGTTGGGGGCTGGAGCTGCAGTCCCGGGTTGGGGGCTGGAGCTGCAGTCCCGGGTTGGGGGCTGGAGCTGCAGTCTCGGGTTGGAGGCTGGAGCTGCAGTCCCGGGTTGGAGGCTGGAGCTGCAGTCCCGGGTTGGGGACTGGAGCTGCAGTCCCGGGTTGGGCTGGAGCAGCAGTCCCGGGTTGGGGGCTGGAGCTGCAGTCCCGGGTTGGGGACTGGAGCTGCAGTCCCGGGTTGGGGGCTGGAGCTGCAGTCCCGGGTTGGGGACTGGAGCTGCAGTCCCAGGTTGGGGGCTGGAGCTGCAGTCCCGGGTTGGGGACTGGAGCTGCAGTCCCGGGTTGGGGACTGGAGCTGCAGTCCCGGGTTGGGGACTGGAGCTGCAGTCCCGGCTTGGGGACTGGAGCTGCAGTCCCGGATTAGGAACTGGAGCACAGGGCACAATCAAGAAGCCGCGCACCCGGAGAGTGGGGCTGTGGCCTCCGTGTAGGGACCCCCGTGTCTTGAGACATATGGACCCTCGACTCAAAACATGACCCTCCGTATAGGGACTCGCGACGCACGGGCAAGGTGAGACCAAGGGTGGCCTGGTGATGATAGTGGTAGAGTGAAGGAGCAGTTGAGCAGAGGCAGCATGATGGGGCAACTTTCAGTTCTCAACGCTGCACCGCCAGCTCATACGCTGCACCGCCCACTCATACGCTGCACCGCCTGCTCTTACGCTGCACCTCATGCTCATACGCTGCACCGCCCGCCCCCACTTAGCGCACCCACTTAGCGCACCCACTTAGCGCCCCTCCTTAGCGCCCCCAATTAGCGCCCCCACTTAGCGCCCCCTTCACTCATACAACTTGCCAATACTCCACTGCTCCTACTCGCCACATCCTACTGCTCCTTCGTGCATGCAAAGGGAGATGCAGAACGAGAAACTGCAACAGGAAATGAGCAAGGCACAGCCTGAAAGAGAGTGGGGGAGTGGGAGCACCTGACAGCCATTCGTGTTGGGCCCACTGTTTGCCTGCAGAGGTGGAGAGAGACAGAGAGGCGGATAAGTGGAGTGGGGTGAGAGGCAAGATCGCATGGTGGTCACAAAGGCAGGGCATGCACGCACTGCCATGCGATCCCAGTGAGAAAGAGCAAGAGCGCGAACAAGGGCAGGAGAAGGAGCAAGAGGTGGAGAGGAGGGGAGAGGAGAGGAGAGGAGAGGAGAGGAGAGGAGAGGAGAGCAGAGCAGAGCAGAGCATACAGCAGAGAGCAGTCCTGGGCCGGTGTGCTTGGCAATAAAGGGCTCGTCGTCAAACTTGGAGCCGTATATGCTGATGCACCCCGTGCCGTCCCCCTGATGCACGGGGGGGGCACAGGGGGCAGGAGCACAGGGGAGAAGCAGCAGGGGGCAGGAGGACAGGAGTGGGTGTAATGACGGCCGAGGAATGGCGACCAGGGAGATGGAGGAGAAACAGTGGGCGGATAGGAATGAGCAGCGGGCAGGGGTGGGGGAGCGGTGACGCAGGCAATGGTGCAGGGAGAAGGTTGTGAAGAGTGTGGTGTGGTGCAGTGGAGCAGGCACGGGTGCAGTGCGGTGAGGCGAGGTGAGGTGAGCGCACCTTGAGGAAGTCCCCTCCTTGGATCATAAAGTCCTTAATGACTCTGTGGAACACTGACCCTTTGTAGCCCTGCGGTATGTTGTTCTTCCTGCACGCCCCCACACACACACGCACACACATGCATGCACATGCACATGCACATGCACATGCACCAACACATATGCAGATACTCGCACATTGTGGGGCAATTGCTGCATGAGAGCATTGGACAACAGCACATGTGCATGGCAGCAGGCAATCGCACATGCGCAACTGCCTGTTGTCAAACCGTCAGCCCAGACTTTGAGTGGACGGTTCAGTATCGCACCTCATCTCGCCCGTGCATAGCTGTCTGTTGTCACCGCACCACACCGCGCACCACCACCACCGGCACCACCACCACAATCCACCACGTACAGTTGCACGCACACAAGAGAAAAGGCCACGCCAGGAGCATGCGAAGGGGGTTTCACGGGGCGCAGGAACAGAAAGGTGTGAACCGGGAGAGGTTGTGGAGACGCGGCAAGAGGAGTGGTGGTGCGATGGTGGGGGGCGTGTCTGGTGCAACACGACATGGCATGGCATGGCGTGGCACGGGATGGCACGGAATGGCACGGCATGGAACGGCACGGCATGGCACGGCATGGCACGGCACGGCACATGGCGGAGCGGTACCGGAAGTTCTCAGCGGTGCGGGGCGCGATGTCAGCGAATAGCTCCATCTTGACGCGCCCCGCCGCGATACCCCCGATCGTGACGTCAAAGAACACCACGGGGTTGCGCGGGTTCTGCGCGCGCGTGTGCCAATCTACCACCGCCGCGGCCTCCGCACCCGCCATTGCGCTGACTTCTCCGCGCGCGGGTTCCCTGACCCTCCCACCTGCGCCGCTCCCGACTACGTTTCACTTATGGATGCGCGAGTTGCGCTAGCCTCCAATACGATGTTTTGCTCTGCTCTTCTGGTGGTAATCTCGTCAACGACGGGGAAACTAGCGAGACCCGGTGGTTTATGGGAGCCAGACTAAGCACGACGTGAGGTGAACGGAACGGACGTGAGCAGAGGAGGTAATGGGCCCGGCTGATCGATACACGCAGGCTTGCTCCCACGGGGAGAAGGGAAATAGAACTACCGGACGACTGACACAAGCCGGGTTAAGAACCGTTCGTACAGTCGCGTCGTGTTTAGGACGCCGAGCAGGCGCTGCGGTTTGCTGCTTTGGTTCTGTAATGTGGAACTAAGGTTTATATTCGCGTTTGTAATGCCGATTGGATGAACCCGGTTTCATTCGTTGCAATTTTGCCATAACTACTAAAATACAGAAATCGTCAGAAGCATAGCACCTCGGTTTTGCTGGCACGAACACCCAGAACCTGGAAAGTTTACGTATCAAACAAATATATCAATTGATATACCAGCTGCTGAAAGGTGTCAACTGATCTTGACATTTATAAAAGGGAGATAACATGCCTCGGAAAAAGATTTGGCAATCTGAGTTACTTCGGCTTTGTTGCTGCAGTAAATGACCTTTGGATAGGATAGGAATGCCTTGGAAGAGTTTGGTAGCTGAAGTCTTGGTTTGGGAACTCATATCATAGTGAGTGTAGATGACCTAGTTGATTAAACAAAACATTACAAACATGATAAATAGTTCTAACTAGCAATATACTCTAAGGGGTACATTCCCTTATTCTAACTGTTTTACAAGCATTTCTACACTGACTCTGACTATTGCGCTCCTTTCTTGTTACCGAGTCGCTGCCTGTAACCTGTTCGTACGGTTACGTCTGTTGCCATTCCTCGACGGTAGGTCAAACGTCGGTCCAGATGGTAAACAGTCGTGACAGTTGACCTTCCTGCCCTTGATATAGGCTGATCCGACACTGCTGCTAGCGCTGCTTCGATAGTGGCGGGTGCGGTACTGCTGCACCTACGGGAATGCTGAAAGTAATTCCCTTCATACTCCAACACTCCCCTTCATTCCTGGAGGTGCGCCACGTGGTTCTTTCGGACGACTCCGCACAGGTCCGAGCAATACTGAAACTTCTGACGTGGCAGTTTCTTCGTCAGAAAATCAGTTGCCATCTCGCCAGTTGGGTAGTAGGTGAGCTGGACCTTCCCTTTGTCAATTTCGTCTTTGACGAAAAATTAGCGCGGGGCGATGTGTTTCGTGCGGTTGACGAAGCCCGGTTTGTGTGCGATTTTGATCGCACTCTGGTTGTCGCAGAGTAACTTGAAGGACCCGTTCATCGCCGTCTTCGTTTCCTGCAGGAGCTCCCAAGGCAAAGTCCTTCGCGAACTGCTGCACTTGGCTCGATAAATTTCGCTTCTGCTGACGAAAGGGCGATGAGCTCCCGCTTCTGTGAGTTCCAGGAGATGGTTCCTGCAGGCTCAAGTTTGAAGATGAAGCATGTGCGGGACCTCCTGTTATCTGCATCCCCAGCGTGATCGGCATCCAAGTAGCTAGTGAGTTGTAGGGTAGCTCTGAGGTTCGCAGTGTAGGTGAGGCCGACATCGAGCGTGGAGATGAAGTATTGTAAGGCGCGGCGCAGGTTTGCCAGGTTCTCCCCTTCAGGTCGCTGTAGGTACTGGACGAGCTGGCTGGCGATGTATGACAAGTCCGGGCGGGATGTGACGGCGGCGAACAGTAGACACCCGAGCTGCTGCTGGTAGAGGCGGTGATCAGCCGGTGAGAGCGGGGTAGTAGCAGGCTCGTGGTTAGGCGGAGGAATGCGGAACGGGGTAGTGACGCCGACGGGAGCTATCCCGAACTTCTTAGCGAGGGTCTCGACGTATTTCGCGGCGGAGAGGTGGATCGTATCGGCGGTCTGGGTGACGTTGAGGCCGAGGAATTGGGTGACCTCATGGTCGATGGTCACCTCCAGCTTCTCCTGGATCTCGCGTTCGAAGCGATCGAGCAGGTCTGTGTCGTCTCCGGTGTAGAGAAGGTCGTCCACGTAGGCGACGAGCAGGATGAAGTGGCCGCGGGATTCGAGGCGGTACATCCCTTGACCGTGGGGAAGTTGCTGAAAATCGAGCTCGATAAGCACGGAGTGAAGATACTGCTGCCACGAGCGTGGTGCCTGCTTGATGCCGTATAGGGACTTTTGGAGGAGGCAGATGGCGTCACCGTCTTCTTCGAACGCGTGTGGCTGCTCGACGTAAATGATGGTGTCGACGATCGCGCAGAGAAACGCGTTGGAGACGTCGATTTTGCGAAGGGGGCGCTGTTTCACAACGGCGATGCAGAGAAGAATCCGCACTGAGGTATGACGGCCGACAGGTGCGAATGTTTGGTTTTAGTCCACGAACTGTGTCTACTCGAATCCGCAAACCACCCAGCGCGCTTTGTATTTGTCGACTGTTCCGTCCGCGAGAGTCTTGATTCTGAAGACCCATTTCCATGTAAGGATTTTTCTCCCCTTTGCGTGGCGGCGTGGTACCAGCTTCCAGGTGCCGCGACGTTGGAGTGCAGCGACTTCTGCGACCATGGCGGCTCTCCACTTCTCATCATCGGGCCCGCTGAGGGCTTGGCGAACAGTGGTGGGCTCAACCAGCTGCTGGTTACCCCAGACTACGACAGCGAGGCCGAGGATGCGAAGGCCCGTGAGGTTGGATTCGACCATGTTGGTAACTTTGATCACATCGTCGTCGTCGCCTGGGATGTCGCAAATGGTGTCGCGGGAGGGGTCGCGGGTTGGATCTTCGTTCATGGGTGAGTGCATTTTTGCACTTGCGTAATCGTGCTGTGCCTGTACTGCTTCGTGTGGAGTGATGTCTGTAGGAAGATATGTAGGTGTGCCGAACTGCTCTGTAACGGGGACGAAGGGTGTCTCATCTGCTGCGGCTTCGTCTGGCTGTTCTCCTACCACGTCGACATCATCTTCGTCATTGGCGTAGCTGTGCTGTCTCTGAAAGACGTTGTCTGGTGCGTTCTTTGCAGTGCGGTGCTGGCGGTACAGTGGCCGAGTCAGTCTTTCGTAGAAGATGTAGTGACGTGAACGCGTGAGCTGGTGGGTGGCGAAGTCCAGGATCGTCCAGGCGTGATATTCGGATTCGATTCCGAGGTGAATGCCCCAGCGGGCGCGATCTTCAAATTTTCCGGTTCGGGCAGTATGGGGGCGGTACTATACCATACACCTGAAGACTCGCAGCATGCGTGTGTCGGGGTGTTTTTCGGTCCACTCCTTGAAGGGTGAGCTGTTGTTGGGCAGTGCCTTCGAGGAGAGCATGTTGTGCAGCCGAACTGCATGTGCCATCGCGAAGGGCCAATGTCAGATTTATATGACATAGTTGCTGTAGGCTATAGTGGGGTAGCACATATGGGGTACAGGGTTTCTAGGGTTGTATTTGTACCCAATCTTTCCTTAGTCATTTCATTTTCCTGTTTTCTTTATTTCACATGGTATAGAGCGGGTCCTACCTTAGGACCGTTTTTTTTAGGGCCCACCGAAGCGCGCCCCGAGGCGCGCCTTTTTTTTAGCGACCCCCTCGGGTCGCCTTTTCCCTCGCGGCCCCGCTGTCCCTCAGACGCGGCCCCGCCACCTCCCCTGACGCGGCCCCGCCGCCTCCCCTGACGCGGCTCCGCCGCCTCTCCTGACGCGGCCCCGCCGCCTGTCTGACGCGGCCCCGCCGCCTCCCCTGACGCGGCCCTGCCGCCTCCCCTGACGCGGCTCCCCCGCCTCCCCTGACGCGGCACCGCCGCCTCCCCTGACGCGGCTCCGCCGCCTCCCCTGACGCGGCCCTGCCGCCTCCCCTGACGCGGCTCCGCCGCCTCTCCTGCCGGCCCGCCACTGCACCTGCCGGCCCGCCACTGCACCTGCCGGCCCGCCGCTGCACCCAACGGCCTGCCGCCTCTGACGGCCTCGCCGCTGCACCTGCCGGCCTCGCTGCTGCACCTGCCGGCCCGCCACTGCACCCTACGGCCCGCCACTGCACCCTACGGCCCGCCGCCTGCACCTGCCGGCCCGCCGCTGCACCTGCCGGCCCGCCACTGCACCTGCCGGCCCGCCGCTGCACCTGCCGGCCCGCCACTGCACCGGTCAACCCGCCGCTGCACCTGACGGCCCCGCCCCTGCATCTCCTGGCCGAGCCGCCTCAGCAGCCGAACCGCCCGTGAGCCGAGCCGCCCGACGCCGAGCCGCCCGGGACCCAAGCCGCCCTGCCGCCGAGCCGCCCGGGAGCCGAGCCGCCCTGCACCCGAGCCGCCCAGCCGCCGAGCAGCCCGGGAGCCGAGCCGCCCTGCGCCCGAGCCGCCCAGCAGCCGAGCCGCCCAGCACCCGAGCCGCCTTTCTGCATACCTACACGACCTGCCCTGCCTGGTGAGCACAGTCCCACTGACACTGCGAGCTCTTTCCCTGCTGCTTGCACTGCGTCGCTGTCGTCGCCATGGCTACCCCTAGTGTCCTAGCTTTTGACGCTGAGGGTCGCGCCATTGATTTTGAGGTCTGGTTAGACGACCTGCAGCTGTTCTTACAGTGCGACAGGGCTGACGACCTTTCTCTCTTTGATCTCACCTCTGGCGCCTCTCCTGCTCCTGCTGCTGATGCTGATCCCGCTGTCCGCTCTAAGTGGGCCACCCGCGATGCTGCTGCACGTCTTGCTGTGCGTCGCCACCTACCTACCTCTGAGCGTGCGCACTTCAGTCAGTACAAGAGTGCTCAGACCTTGTACGACGCTGTAGTTGCGCGCTACTCCTCCCCTGCCACTGCTGCACTGAGCCGTCTCATGCTTCCCTACCTCTTTCCTGACCTCTCTGCCTTTCCCACTGTCGCTGACCTCATTACGCACCTCCGCACTAGTGACACTCGCTACCGCGCCGCCCTTCCTGCTGAGTTCTGC